CGAGAGGGAGTTTCCATCAGTTCCTCCTTTTGGTGACTGTCAGATCTGGTATCAAGATCTGGCAGTTACCAAGAAACTGATGGAAACGACTAGATCTGGCACTTATCTGGTATCAAGGCTGTTTGCTTTTCAACTTTCATAGTCTCAACATTGTGCTAACAGGAAGTAATATTTATTAGTGTCCGTTTCTTCATATCTCCCTTTCTCTGTTGGTGCAGGGCTCGGGCAATTAAACACCGTCAAGATAACGAGGAAGCGGTGGGTGGCTTCTTCTCCCAAATTGGAGAGTTGTACATTGTACATCACTTATGGGGTAGGTAGCCTTGAAACACACAGTACTTTAGAGTGTGTTCATTTCTGATCCTTTTTCCTGTCAGCTGGCTTCACCTAGCACACTAAAAACTAATTTGGTGAGCAAGCTGTTGTGTCCAGGTTTACAAACTATAATGCCTGGATGTACTTAGCGCTCTGGTGCAAAACCAGTGGCCGAGTTTCCCACAACATGCTAGGCTAAATTATAATGGTGATTTAGTATGTTATAGGGGCCCAGTCATTGTCTTAGCAAGACATTTGAATCAGGCTGTCACAGAAACCATCTTACGTTTTATTTGGGGGAGGTTACATATTTTATTTACCTAGGTTTAGGGTTTAATGGAGCCTTTCTCAACTGTCGTGAGAGGTCATTAGGGGGTCTGCAAGGAATTGTGATGGGAAAAAAATTGGTTTTTGAACTTTGCATACTGCACAATACTAACACTCACAGTGGTGGGAATTTTTGCATGTGCCGGGGTTCCCTGAGACTTGAACATTATTTCAAGGGTTCCTCCAGGGTAAAAAGATTGAAAAGGGGTGTTTTGGTGTATTATGTGAACCCAGCCAAATTGTATAAGGTCTTGGTGCAGTGTGAGAGCCCAGACATTTTGGTATTTGGTTCTCTGATGTTGATAGTATTCCTTTGTGTGTAACACACATACTCACCCATCATATCAACAGATATTTCCCCTACCTTGTAGAACACACTGGATCTTGTACAGCCTTGCGGGCTGATTCCAGTTTGCTCAGGCCTACATTCCCAATTTGGGGCCTTCCAGAAGGGTCTGATTTTGGCTCCCATGGTCCCCAGTCTACCTGGCTGAGCCTACCAATTTCAGCTGGGGACTGTAACCTCAATCTGTAGCAGTAGCATCCATTCACTTACCATCAGACTGCACGAAAGAGTCTGTCCGCTGGCAATCTTCTTACAATTTAGGATATGTTTTGTTGGTTGGTAGCCTACAGAGATCTGCAATCAAGAGAGGAGACCAGGAACGCTGCCTGGAGGAAGCGAGGATGGGATGAAAATGTTTACTATACAGGTCAGACATCTCGATGAGGGGTGCTGGAATTTTTCAACCTTTCCCAACCTGGGTGTCTTTCAGATAACTCGGTGTCAGTTCCCCAAATTTCCCGGCCATCTATGGATGAAGTAATCTCTAGACCCTTTTTTAAAAGTTCAAAAATTGCATCCCCATTTTGACCAGTGATGTCATGGGATACTCCTGTAGCATTCAAAGGACAGCAATAACCAGATTGATAATTCATCTCCTCGTTTCCCAGCCTGCTACAGAATCAACCTTAATTGTGTGGCAGAAGGAAAGATAGAGCCACGTTTACCCCCTCTAAAAACAATCCCCACCTTGAATAAAACTAAATGGTTTCATTGGAAGTACGGTTAGGCACAACATAAATATACCACTTTAATAATTAATCTTGCAACATGATAAAATAAAACGTTTTCATTGGAAACGAGCAATAAAACCATCAAATTCGAAACCATATTCTTGAATGGGAGGGATGACCTTGATTAGTTGTGTGTCATTCTTGAAATCTTATTTTTGAGACAATCCTTTTCAATTCTCGTTTGTTTTAGACCGATATTTGCTCACTTGCTCTGGATAGAAGCAACTGCTGAAAATTCTGCCTTGTCTCCTAGTTTGTCCAGGCAGAACAGGAGCGCATTCAGACAGTGATCCAGCTTTGGCTGGGTATGCTATGGATCTGGTGCATGCGAAACCAGAGCCCTGTCAGAGCTACCCAGGTTTTGCTTGGATAATCTGGCTGTCGGCTTCTCTGGGCAGAGCAGAAGTGAGGTTTGGTAGCGATCTAGCTATGTATACGTAAGCTCCTGCCTCTTAAGCTGATTGCTTTCTGAACTTGTTCCCGCTCTGCCTGGACAAGCTTGATAGCAGGCTTAATCCAGGCAGAATAGGAACATGATCTGACAGGACACCAGCTTTGCATATCCAATCGTGATGGATTGCAGAAATGTGTACACAAAGCTAGGGATCAGCCAGACCATGCTACTTCTCTGCCCGGACGGGCCAGCTGTCAGCAGTTAGAGAACCTTCTACCCTAAGGAATAGCGATCTTCAGAAAACTCTCCACTGGTAAATATTCAGGGTCAACGCTCAGTTGGTGTCCATGAACCAGAGGGACAGTGAGCATTCCCTGTTTGCCAAGGGTGTCTCAAGTTGGGTGCTGAGAACAATGAGGGACAGTTTTCCAAGATACTATCTCACTCAATGAATCTTTGAATGTCCTTCTGTGTTTGCAGTTCCTCTGGTTCGGAGCATGGAATCTCGAATCATGATTCCCTTGAAGATTTCACCGTTGCAGTGACGTTGCTTCCTTGGGCAGCCCAAGCTTCGGCCGTCCCACAGGAAAAAAATTGTTACATTTCCTCCCCAGCCCCCTCCCCTGAAATCATCTTCATTACTTCCTGACCTTCTACTCATTCCTTTTCTGCTTGGGTTAGAGAGATCTGTCCTTTCCATCTTTTCTTCCTCCCAGTCTCCAGCCTGTCAATTTCCAGTGGGAACAGAGCATGCCGGACCTGTGAATGCTTAGCTTGGGCTCCAGAGGGAGATGAAAGTCATGTATTTGATGGATGGCCATTGACACGATGAGAGCTGACCTTGGTGCCTACTGTGGATTTTGGAACAAGGGATGGAGGCTTTTAAAGATTTTTGCTCCAGGTTCTCTTGCTGAGGGTCTGGCTTCTTCACTGGAGGGGGAAGGTGAGCCCTCCAGCCTCCTGTAGTGGAACAAGCATTCTGACATCTGGAGGCATGTATGTTGGCCTGCTGTGTTGCAGATGTCCTTGGCAGACATGGGAGATTAGTGACTTAAAGAGAACGTGCTTGATGATGGTAAAAATAATAATAAAAAGGTCTGCTTTTGAAGGACCATGTAACCTGCCTTACTGCACATGCAATTAAATATTTAATATACTAATCCGAGTGCATTGCAAGGACACGAGTTGTGCTTGAGAGGCTGAGGTGCTATTCTAAATAAGGAAGGAGCAACCAAGGGGCGCTTCGGTGCTGCGAGGGTTCTGGGAGCCAACAGGACGTTGAGGCTGAGTTTGTACCTCGTATTAAGCCAGGTTTGTCTTAACTGTGGTTTGAGTAAACTGCAGTTGGTCAGTTTCATCAACATGCTACACCAACCTTGCCATCATGGACAGTATCCAGATGTTGGGGCTGAAGGTTCCTGGATTCTTACCCAGGGCTGGGTGGCTGGGGAATTTGGGATTTCTAATCCAACACATCTCACGTCTGACGTTTGGAAAGGCTAGATATCCATCCTGCTGTCCACCACTAGGGTAAATAACTTTATGGAAAGGATGGAAAAAGGGGGAAAGCCGGATTTAAGAGGAAAGGAAAAGCAAGGTAACTAAATTGGGTTTACCCTAATTCTGTTCCTGTCAGCCTTGTCAGGTAGCCTAGATAAGAATCACACCCAGAAGCGCTAGCTCTACCTTTATTGTAAGGCTACATTAAGAGAACCTTGCAAGTCTGAAAGTGCATCTCTCCCCACTCGCCTTGACAGTCCAAGAAACTAAAGAGGGTCCCTTCTGAGCCATTTGCCACACCCCCATTCCTTCTGCGGGCTCAGCTGCCACATATCTGACCATTGCCTAGTCTGCGGCTCTTCCTCCTGTCTCCCAAGGTCATTCCCACAGATCATTACACCTGGGGATCAGTGGATATTAGCCTTGATGACCATGTGGCTATCTCTGAAGGCCATCTCCTAGAAGATGAATGGGTTTCCTTGGGCAGTCAGTTGGCCACTAGGAGACCAGACTGCTGGACTAGATGGGCCAGGAGTCCCATCCAGCAGGGCACTCGTAGGTTCTCATTGGGCTCTGCATTTTAAAGAAGGGAAGAGACCACTTAAAAAGCTTCAGAAAGCAGGTGGAGGTTAAACGTGGCTCACATTGATATGACTGCCTTCAATTAATTTAAATAATGAACTGCCAAACCCAAACCAGGCATGTAGTCTCATTCCATTCTTTCACATTATGCTGGATTCCCAAGTTTCAGATGAAGAGAATAAAAACCCAGTGCCATTCTTTCACACACACACAAGTCTTATAGAGATGAGGTGGCAAGAGAAGGAACAGCAAGGCCTCACCGGCATGGGGTCCCTTCTTGATATGGGCCACGGGACATCAGGAGGGAGGGAGATAGGGCTTTGAAGGTTGCATCCCGCTGTTTGCATGCAATGTGTGAACCCTGCTGGGGAAATATGGCTCTGAATGGGCAGTGGGGTATCTCCCTTCACTTCATCCTCTGCTTCCTATTTTTACAAGATTCCTGGTTCTAAGGATGGTAAGGACAGGGCCATGCATAAGACGTTAACAGGTCTCAAGAAAGCAAAGCGCATCTGTTGGGGTGCCAACCAGCCTGTGGAAGTGACCCTTGTTCTCTTCTGCTCGTCTAGAAGCGTTTGCTGGGTCAGCATCAAGCCAAAGTCTCGATTACAAGGATTTGTGTGCTGCCCTTTGCCTGGCCTCATCATCCGTGCAAGAAGGCTTCAAAACATTGGTTTCTTTTTTTAAAAAAAAAATTAATTGGGGGAATGTTTAATTCATTGGAAGAAGTAGCCATAGTTGTTGGGTTGGGCTGCAGGTGAAATACAACAGGGCTACTTCTTCCAATGTAGGCCCTGAAGGAAAGCTGGGGACAACTCAACCTTGGGATGGTGGTGAAATCTCTTACCTGTGTTTTGGGAAGAAACAACTGCCTGAACTGATGAAAATAATTACTTCTGAAGTGCCTTAAATTGTCTTTAATGCAATAATGAATCCTAGTTGTGTCACACTAAACCGAATTTAAGGCCTGTCAGAAGCTGTTGCTGTTACTATTGTGTTATTGAGGATGAAATAAGAAGCAGGAAGAAAAAAGGATGTGGGAGGGAGAAGAAAGCAAAGAACCATTGTTTCTTGACTACTAGGTTGGGCTGATGGGAATTGGAGTCTAATGTTGCCCATCTTTTTATACGATCAGTAGGGCTGTTTGCTGTACCGGTAGGTTGCTCAAATACTGTACAATGGCCCCTTGATTTACTAGATCACAATGTGATGGACTTTGCAAGCCATAGACCAAATTCCTAGGGTTCTCTATGCCTTTGGTGTAATGACATCACACCTGTGACATAATGACACAAATGATGTCAACTGCATAATGAAGTCCATGCAAATAATGTCAGTTGCATACTGACTTCAAACGGCAGACGTTGCTGTGATGCTGTTCTTCCATATTTAGTGGACATTCACAAATAACAGACTACCACCACCATCCTTGGTCATTAAAATGAGGTTTCACCTGGACATCATGCAAAGCTCTCTTTGGTTTGACGTCCGGAGTGCTCCACTTGGGTTTTGCCATCTTCTCAGATGGATCATCTCAGGAGAAGCAGAGGATGGACATCATGGAGCTGGTCACAGATATCTATGATGGTTTCAAGAGGGAACCTAATGGACTTCAAAGCCAAGCTTCCACCCATGGTCTTATCTTCCTTCCTAGAAGGCCTTTGATGGAAAAGCGGGGATGGGGGAGGAAGGTGATGAGATACAGCCTCACCAATTTGTTCTCTGGTGGAGGAGTGTTTTGGGTCAACCCTTCTGGGAGTGGGCTCCAGACTTGCTCTCAAAGTTCTGCAGCTCCTGGCTGGACCCAAAATGCAAAGAAAGGCAAAAGAATTGAAGTCTTTGGAGGAGAAAAGGAGAGGGTGGGGTGCAATTTATGTCTCAAGCAATATCATGTGAAAGACAGGGACAATCTGTTATCTATCAAGACAAGGAGAAGGAGATAGAGCAGTGTTTCTCAACCTGGTCAACTTTAAGATGTGTGGACTTCAACTCCCAGAATTCCCAGGCTGGCTGGGGAATTCTGGGAGTTGAAGTCCTCACAGCTTAAAGTTGACCAGGTTGAGAAACACTGAGATCGAGTAATGGGTTGAAGTTACAGGAAGGCCAATGGCAGGGATCACTTCCATTCAAAGGAAGTTTATAAGCTCCCCTGGGCTGGAGGTGTTCGAACAGACTGGACGCCCATCTGCCTGGAATGTCTGAATCCAGATTCCTGCACAGCGCAGGGGTTAGACTAGATGTCTTCAACGCTCCCCTCCAATTCTCTCGATCCTGAAAACAGCTACAGGTGGAGAATTCAATGCGGGGCCATTTCAGGGCTTTCCCTGGAGCATCGAAAGCTTCTTAGGTATTTATCAAGTGCCGACTTTGAGATCTGGATCAGGGCCAGCGTTGAAAAAAAGCAGAACTTTGAAATCATCCCCCACTATCTAATCAGGAAATCACACAAAGGGACAGAGATGGCAGGTCATCTGCTTCTCTGGCACATTCCCAGCGTTTTATGGCCCTCTGTCAATCTGCAATTCCATTTTAAGCTGGAGTGCGTTGGGGACCTCATGGCTGCATCACCCCCTTTTTCAGGGGGGGAATTATTTTTTAGTTCCCCCTCCTGCACATACACCCCTCAGACCCCCTTTCCTCTTGGGCTACTTCCCCAATGAATTTCTCCAATGCAGGGTTTCTCAACCTTGGCCCCTCTAAGATGGCTGGGCTTCAGCTCCCAGAATTTCCCAGCCAGCTTGCTCTGTCCACAAACTGGATGGAAACTGGCCCATTTGCAAACGGCCTTGGTTTATCTCAAGGCTCCTTCCTGAAAGATGAGTGGTGCTGATGGAAGAATGAAAGCATCAATCTCTTATCTCCAATCACAGCTGGGGCCAAGGTTATGACCACACTATAAAGGAGTTGAACTTTCTGGGTCTCAAAACTCTTTCTGCTGCAGCTTGACAGCCGACAAAATGACTTTTGCTCACCGCCTGGTCCTGGCAGCGGGTAAGTGGCAATTTTCCATGTTGGACATATATCATTTTTATTAAGAGTTTTGAGAAGAAGATAGAAACTAACAGGAACTACTATAAAGGAAAGGAAGAAAGGAAAAAAGTGCAAAAAGGAAGAATGAAACAAACAGAAGTAGCTTCTGATTTTCTTTGCAGCAAATATAAGTACAATTACAAAATTCCCTTTTACTCTATGGTTACAAGAAGAAAAGCTCTCTTTTTTCTATTCTCTCTTTTCCCTAATCATCAAAGCCATAAATCGTAAGATCATTTTTTTCCGTTTCATGCAAAAAGTCTGGAAGGGGTTTCCAGGCAACCATAGATGAAAGATATGGTCTTTTCTCTGATCAAAGATGTCAATTGAGCCATCTCTGCAAGTTCCCTCACCTTCACCAACCATTCCTCCGTTGCGGGTAGTACCAAATCTTTCCCCTTTTGAGCATATAATAATCTCACTGCAGGTAAATGGCGGTTTTCCAGACCCAGTGGACCGTGTTGGATATAAGACATCTGCGTGAATTGTTTTACATGTCCGGAGGGCCCCCGGCCTGGATGGATGCGTCCACAGAACATGGGTGTCCAGGAGGGCTAAAGATCTAGCCAATACATCCATGTCACATGTTCAGCTTGGATTTGTGGGTGCGGGTGTCAGAGTCTGCACACTCATTCCCAAAGTTCAGTAAATCTTCTGGAGTCTAATTAGT